TCAAGCAAAAAAGCCCAAATTACTGGTTTTCGCTTCTTATTCCTGATATGATTTAAAAGACAAATGCAAAAAATAAATATGAATGCTACTGGGCACACATATATAGAGATGTTAATGGATCAAACTCAACCAAAGGATGTGAGTGGCAGAATGATAAAAAAGCAGGATGCAAGTATATGCTGCGTACAAAAGACTCACTTTAGATTTCATGGACATACATCGGCCAAAAGTGAAGGGATGGAAAGAGATATTGGTACAAACAGTAAACAAAGGAGCAGTGGTGGCTGCACTGACATCAAGAAAAGCAAACTTTCTATCAGAAATTGTTAGATGCAAAGAAGGACTTTATATAGAAGGATTAATTGCTGAAAGGGCCAATCCACCAGAAGATAATATATATCTTCTCATATACACTTATAAGAAGTATAAATAAGAAATACATATATATATATGCACTAAATACCAGAGCTGCTAAACCCACATGGCAGACATGGGCAGAATTGAAGGGAGAGACCGGCAGCACTACAGTTAATACCAGGAGTCTTCAATATTGGATAGAACGAGCAGCTGGGAGGTCAGTGAAGAAACAGGTGGAGCAGTGGACCCAGCAGGCTGGTGCAGAGTGTGCCTCCCTGTGGCTGCGGAAGACATTGTTCTAAGCCATTTCCCACTCTTTGTGAGAACATTAAAGCGCAAGTCTTAGGCTTGAGGCTTAAGTAGTACAGTGCCTGTCTAGCATGCTCAAAGCCCTGAGTTCAAACCCCAGTACCACCAGAAAGAAAAAAAAAGGTGCAGTCTTACTTGGAGTCTACTTATTGCAGGGCTTCCTAATTACATCCCAGAAGCAGGTCAGTCCATTGAAGAACTGTAAGCTGGAACCTGACCCGATCCATCCGACTCTTTCCCAAACCCATCCATTTCCCGTGTTCTTGGGCCCTGTTGCCTGGCCCGGTCTTCCTGATTCTTCCTTTTCTTCACCCACCACCCTCTGTTTCAAACTCCTGCCTCTGCAGTCTCCACAGAGCCTCATGGACCCCTCTGCATCTCCTGAGAAGCAAGTTCTAGTTGGTCTCGGGAACAAACGCTCACATGTTGGAGGTGTGGGGTCTGAAGCCACTCCTTGTAGTTAGGAAAGCCCCACTTGTTAAATGTAGGTCGGAGGCAGGGTATAATGCTTATTTTCCTGCCACCCTGGGGGAAAATGAGAGAACCGGAGGACACGCAGCATTTGAAGGCTCCCGTGACTGGTTTTGACTGAAACACGTAACCAAATGCTAATTAAATTGCTGGCAGCTTAAGAAGTTGGAGTTTCTCTGGTAAGGTAGAAGCAGGGGTGGTCAGTGTAAAGGTGGTTAATTGTGAAGTCGGGCAAAGCAAGGGTGTCCTATAATAACATGTTGCATGTTCAGAATGGGTCCTTTGGTCTGTACTCCTCAAAGTCCTTCCTGGATGTTAATTAGCACAGTGCTTGTGCAGTCCTGACATTTGTGTTACCCATAGTTGGCTGGGTTTCTTCTTTTCTACCTGGATAGAATTATGACTAGGCAAGGAGAAGCTCTCCTAGTGTTCACAGTCCCAGGTCTTTGAGCACCCAGGGCCTAGGGCTGGATGGCAAGACCCCAAGGCTTACAGCTCCAAGCCCCGACAGCTAGGAGGGTATTGCTTCAGGCTTGAGAAGTCAGAGCCATAGTCTCTAGGTAGTCAGGTTTGGAGGCTTACTGCTCCGGGCTTTAACCACCAGTCACCCTGGTACTTGGCAGCAGCTGTAACCCAGCAGCAGTGAGCGGCAGCAGCAGGCAGGCAGCATCTGCGGTGTTGAAGCTCCTAGTGGGCCTCAGCTCCTGCAACCATTAGTGTCACAGCCCTCAGGCCTGGAGTGTCTGAGAACCTCGCCCCTGAGACTTGGCGGCCCCTGGGACTCTTCCAGTGAATGGGGCCCACAGTTTCTTGTCTCTGGCTCTTCACCCTCTCCCACCTCCTCCCTCCTGTCCCTCGTGGTCTCTGCTGCCTCTGCGCCCTCTGGTTTCTGGCCACTCTCTGAAACTCTTCACAGCTTCCGCACTGCTGATGCCGCCTGGCACTGCTGCCTTCACTGCCTGCTATGGCTCCTCTGCCACAACCATCATCTCTTCGTGTTACCAGCTCAGCCTGCTTTAATGACAAAGATCAAAAGTAGGGCTGGTGCATAGCTCAAGGGGTAGAGCACTTACCTAGCATGACCAGACCCTGGGTTTTGCAGTAATGAGGATTACTGCAAAAAATATAAAAAGCCCAAGGGGATCCAAAGTAGGCAAAAAACAAAACAAACAAACAAAAAAACCCAAAAAATCAAAAAAAACAAACCATTGAAGAGGCGTCTTTTATTAGGTCTAATGTTACAATACCAGGAGGGTGTCTCAAAAAGTAAGCCAAGCCAGGTGCCAATGGCTCATGCCTGTAATCCTAGCTATTTGGGAGGCTGAGATTAGGAGGATCATGGTTTGAGGCCAGCCCAGGGAAATAGTTTGTGAGACTGCATCTCCAAAAATAACCATAGCAAAATAACTGGAGGTGTTGCTCAAGTAGTAGAGCACCTGCTTTGCAAGTGCAAAGCCTTAAGTTCAAAACCCCAATCAGTTCCAAAAAAAAGCAAACCAAATAGTGTGCTCATATAGCTGGGGAGGAGGTGTGGCACGGTGTTTGAAGGAGGCATTCCTTCGCAAGTGAGCTGCTCTGTTTGCATCAGTCAGCACAGTCCTTCATGCAAACCAAGGACATTTGAGCCGATCACAGGCCCTCTGCTGGGCCACCAGGGGAAGTGCGCCCCCTCTGGCCTGGGTGAAAAGGGCTGATGGAGTTCACCAGGCTTGTGATGGCAAAATGTTTGGTGCAAGCTCGTTATAGCAGTCCTGGCTGTCAGAAGCTCAAGTTGTGCTTCTGCCACAAGCAGCTGTGGTGTGGCATAGCTTCCTCAAGGCATCATGGAGTGTTCAAAGCAGCTGGGCTGCCATGAGAGTCCAGCTGGTTGCTAAAGTTTGCTGGACTGACAGTCCTCTGCGTAAGGCAGCTGGACACCAGGGACGTATTTGACAACTGTCAATTAGGGAGTCAAATCATCCTGGCCCCCAATATCTTAGCTTATTTCAAGGAAAAATAAAAAGGCGTGCTCATATGAAGTCCTATCAACATTAACAGTGATTTAACTGTATTTGACAGTGAGTGCCCCACTCCCAACCAAATACCCTCGGAGACAGTTGGGTCACTTTTGTCTCATTTGGACTGACTCAGGAGGCGCAGCCCACCCTCTGCCAGGGCTTTTTGGCCTGGTCCTAGGGTGGTGGGTTCCAGGTTGGACACCCTTCCATGAAACCAACCACTCTGCAGTCAGAGAGCAAACTCCTGCCTGTTTTCCCTGTGAACCCACTTCAGGCTGCTTCCCTTTGGCTGAATCGCTGGGAATCTGGGCACGGGTATGTGGCACCAGAGGTGGCTGGAAGAGCAGGGGCAGGGGTCTCCACCTCCTCTCCTAGGGGTCCAGCACACCTGTGTGCACACACTCCATCAGCATCTCTATCCTTCATGTGTGCAAATCCCCCCCACACCGAGCCTCCTCTCCCTCAGGTGCACACATGGATACTGGAAAGCACACCCATATCCAGCCTGGACATATAGCCAGCCTCTCTGTGCGCTGGTACTCTTTCTCCTGTGTGAATACATGCAAAAGCTGCTTAAACTGCTTTTGCTGAAAAGCACCGGCTCCTCACTTGGGCCCATGAACTAACTAAACACAGGAGAAAGCCTGGCATCTCTGTCTCCATCTTCTATCTTTGTCCTTTGCTGTGAGCCATTCTCTTCTTGGAATCAAGGAAGGACAGGAATGATCGATAACATCTTTACGACAAGGAACTGAAACTACCCCTAAGGAACAGCAGAGCCTTGCAGGACAGACCACCCCTCCAAATGAGGACAATGACCTATAATGATGAGGATGCACCCTGGAGCGGGAGCAATCATCTCATGGAATCAGATGGCTCTCCTCAAGTGAAGACAGTGATGACAACTTCTCCAGAACCCCTGAAGAACAAGGACTGAGATAATGCTCATCCAGGCTGCACTCGACTGCTGGAAAACACCTGTGATGGGGACTGTTCTAACTATGCATAGCTTTTGTCCTCTGCCCCTAATATTTTTCTATTTAAAGCTAAAGCTCACATCTGTACCTCTAAGATGGCTGAAGATGGGCTAAGTGTATAATAAACCTCCTTTCTCTGCCCTTCACCATGCCTTTTTATTTGGTGGTGGAATCTGACAGTGGAAGCCCAGGAGTCTGAGCCTTGGGTCCAAAACTCCAGCTTCCACATGCACTCAGCTCCTCCTCTGCACATTAACAAGCACACACGCATATAGGGCACACATATCTGCTTGCATACAGCCTACTCCATGCGCACAGTGTGCATATGGCTCACCCTGCTGCACACAACCAGAGGCCACACACACACACACGTGGCTCCTTTCCCTGCACACTCACAGCCGTGCACGCATGTGGTTCCTCTACTCCATGTGCATGCTACATGGCCGGCCCTTCTCGATGCAGAGGCACGCACACACGTGGCTCCTTCTTCCACATGTACAGACAGGCATGACCGCATGTGGTACCTATAGTCAGAGCGCATGCACACAAGTGTGCACATGGCCGGCCTTTCTCCGTGCACACATAGGCACACACACAGACATCCACCCACGTGGCCCACCCACTTCATGCACACAGGTGTGCATAGCGCCGGTGCATCTCCAAGCACGCGCGCGAGCGCACACACACGCACACGTGGCCCCTCTGCGCGCGCACACAGACACGCGCACAAAGCTCTTGGGAGCCAACCCGTCACCATCGGAACCCCGGCGCACGCGCACACGCGGACGCGCACGCAGGCCCCTCCTCTGCCCAGGGCGGGCAGCACCGGCGGGAGGAACCGGAGCCGAGCAGCGCGAGGAGGAGGAGGAGGAGGAGGAGGAGGAGGGCGCCGAAGGCGCGAAAAGGCGCGCAGGCGTGCTGCGCGGAGCGGGCCCGCCGCCGCCCACGTCACCGCGCCGCGCGCACGTCACGCCGGCCCGACGCTCGGCCCAGGGTGAGCCCGCGTCCCGGCGCCGCTGGCCCAGGGCAGGGACCGCCAGGGCCGGACCTCCCGGCCGGCGCCCCAGCCCGCCGCCTTGTCGCCCGCGCCCAGCCCGGCAGCCAGGTGCGGCAGGGCCGCGGGGACGGGGTGGGAGGGCGCGGGCTGGGCGCGCGGGGCGCGTCGGCCCCGTTCCCGCCTCGGCCTCGTTCCCGCCCGGCCCCGTTCCCGCGTCCAGGCCCGGCTCCCGCCTGGCCCCATCCCCCGCCGCCCCGCGCCTGAGCCCGAGCCGAGCCCACTTGGGCGGCCGGCGGGGCGCGCGGGGTCCCGAGCAGCGTCGCGCGGGGGTCGGGCGGCTGGGCCTGGTGACAGGTCGGAGCGGCGGGGGCCGGAAGCCCACTTGTCAGAGTGGCGGGCCGGCGCCCCCCGGGTCTTGGGGCGGTCGAGGGTCTGCGCGGCTGCGCGGGGCGCGGGCGGAGCCCCAGGGGCCCTGCGCCCGGTGGGGGCCGCGCGCCAGGCGGGGCCTGCGCAGGTGGGGCCGCGTGCCAGGTTGGGGTGACCAGTGCTGCGCCCCGCTCTACCAAGGGGCTGGGGTCCAGACCCCGCTGCTGCCCATGAGGCGCGCTTCCGTTTGGAGAGGTGACTTAAAATCCCAAGGTGGGACCTGCTTGGCCAGCTCCTCTGTCAGGATTGGGCAAGAAAGGTCCCCGCTGCCTGGAGGCCCTCGCGCTGGTGGGGAGACATTTCCTTTAAGATGCGATGTGTGTTAAACTTCTTTTTTCATTCTTACTCACTCCTTGTCTTTTCTTCCTTTTTACCAGAAAAAATCCGTTTTCTTCTGTGGAGGGTGCACAGTATAGCCTTGGTTTCCTGGATCTGGTAACATGGCAAAAGATGTAAGTATGTTTTCTTCATGCTACAGACCAATGTCAGCACGGCACTAACTTTTTATGGCTTTCTGCCTGTATTTCAGAGTGACAACACTCGAACTGCTGTGGTGCTTATTTTCAGACTTTATTATTTTAGCAGGAGGTATGATGGAGGAGGTCCCGTGCATGTGGGCCTCACCTCTGTTTCAGTGTCCTTTTTCAGCCCAAGGCCTGACAGCACCTTGCATGTGTCTGGGTGATGCTACCTTGATTATCTAAATCTCTCCAGAACATATTAAATCTATAGCTTGATGAATGAATGGGGGGCATCGCAGGCCTTGATGTACATTTACTGAGAGGCTTCCACACAGGAGGCTGCTGGGGTATGCTGCACCTGCCATGTGTAGCATATAAGATAACTCACCTTCGATAGACCAATTCTAACCATGTGTGTGGTACTTTTATTTCACAGAAAGATGACATTGGGTGATTAATGAATCGTGAAACTTAGCTGTCTGTCTTGAGACTATTAAATATTCTGAATAATTTTCTAACTGATTTGGAGTTATTTTTTTAGGCCCAAAAATACTGTCTGTGTTGTTGGACTTCACAATACCAGTTTAATTCCCTTAAATGTCAGGGGTGTCCTTGAGCATTTCTTAAAATGTTATCTGCTGTAAACACGAGTAAAAATAGGCTGTTTATTTGTTTGCTTATTTACTGTACAGCTTTGGAAACAAAGGCAGACATGCTGCATCAGCCAGTAGCTGGTCAGGTGTGGTAAGCTGTGTCCCTGGTGTGAACCAGCTCAGCGGCCTTAAGGACTCAGAAGAGGTGTGCTGAGTGGCCCACATGTCAGATGCCTCTCTGTCCTCAGGCACTTAGACCTGCTTTTGGGAGTCGTGTAGCATGTGGGGGTGGAGGGGGGACCCTGTGGTTCACAGTGTGTCTGTGGTATTAGGTTGACTGTCATTTCTGTTGTAGCTGTGGCCCCCTTGTATGTGTGCCCTAAAGTTGTACAGCACGTGGCACAAGGCCAGTAGACAGCTAGATTCATCACAGTCTTTAAGTGGGGTGCTGGACACCATGCTCTTGTGAGGCCATGTTTCTGGTACGTGGTTCCAGGGAACAGTGCATTTTCAGTGACAAGCACACACAGGTCCCTCACTGATAGGGCTTTTGTCCTCTGTTTCCATGTTGTTCTCTTGGCTCTCTGTGTGCTGTGTGCCTTGTGGGTCCCATGGATGTGCCGGCACGTGATCTGGCCACAGGAGAAGAACTGAACCCTCTTCCAAGTAGTTGCAGTGCAGCAACTACTTACAGAGCAGCCATGTTGTTTCACAAGTTGTAAGTGGACTAGGTGCACTGCCTGAGAGCATGAGGCCACTCACTGCCTTGGGCCCCGTGCTGGTTTGGGTTGTCATTGCCATGTGAGGGGATGATGGTGCTATGGGCTGAGAAGCAGCCAGGCAGAGGTGAAGTGGCCCTGCTGGAAGAACTTGGGCTGCCTGCATTGAGCTGGAAGCTGAAATTGTGGGCAGTCAAGGATTGGGCCTTCTCTATAGCCAAGAGCCCGTGTTTTAAGTAGGGCATGACATTTGAATTTCAGAAAGAGGACTTCATAGCCATGCTTGAGGAGAAAATAGAGGAGCTGCTGAGCCTTCCTAAGCCATGGTGCTGAGATCAAATCTAGCCAGGGGGCCATGTCCCCTTGTGGGGTGGGCTGGGTCACTGTGGAAGAGGACAAGCAAGGAGACAGTGAAGTGGCTGGAAGATTATGGAGACATTGAGGAAAATGTCTTAGAAGCTTCCTGCCTCAGCCGAGGTCCAGGTGCACCAGCAGACCCAGGGATGGGCCCTACACACTAGCGAGCAGGACTCCTAGCAGGCAGGGCAGAAATCATCAGTGAACTGGGTGATGGGTAGTGGGAGCTGTTGACTCCACTCCATGAAGGAGAAGAAAGGTGGTCTGAGAATTCATGGGAGCGGGGAGGAGAGTGACAGCGATAGTGGGAGAGGCCATGAGTACCCTGGGATACTTTCTTACAGTGCATGGTGTCATCTGCTGCAGGGACGGAGGGGCCTTGGGCGAGGCCATGAAAATCCTCTTAAGGTCAGAGCGAGTTGTGATCCCTGGTGCTGTCCTGGGGAAGACCTGTTCTTGGGCATGGCCAGCATCAGGCAGATTTGTAAGTGGCAAGGGAGATAGATGGCTGTGTCATAGAACGTCACAGGAGGCTTTTGCTGGGGTGTGGAACGCACTGCCAGGACTTTTCCTGGGGTCCTGCACACCCCTTCCAAATCCCATGCTGTTCTTGGGAAGAAAGATTCAGCAGACCTGGATACGGACAGCCCTCCTCATGTGCAGGTTCTGCGTCTGCAGATTCAGCCAGGCTCAGATGGAAAAGATTAAAAAAAAAATTTGCATCTGCACTGAACACGTACAGACTCTGGCCTGTCAGTACTCCCTGGACAGTGCAGTGAGGCAGCTACTGATGGAGCATTTATGTCGTATTATGTACTATAAGTCACTTACAGATGACTTCAGATATATGGAGAAGCTAGGTGTGGTGGTGCATGCCTGGAATCCTAGCACTTAGGAGGCTGAGGCAGGAGGATTGAGAGTTCCAAGCCAGTCTGGGCTACATAGTGAGACCTTGTTTTAAAAAAAAAAACAAAAAACAGATGGAGTTTGATGGAGTATGTGTGCAGGTTCTGTGCAAACTATGCTTTTTATTAGGCATTTGAGCAAAATCTTTGGATTTTGTATTCAGTAGCCGTCTGGAACCCAGCTCACTTAGATGCTGGCGTTGACTGCATGGTCTGGGAGTGTGTGTGGGTCTTAGGCTCCGGTCTGCTCCCAGCTGAGAGCATGGCCACATAAGTTAGTGCCCGGCATCTATGCCCTTGGCTTAGAGAGCTTGCCTCTGCTGCCAGTGTGTATCCTGGGGTTTATGGAAAAATCTCTATATCGTGTTGTTGAGAGCAAGAGACCAGGGAAAGTATCCCTTCTCTGCTGTTAGTTACTACCAGCAGCAGACTAGTGACCCTGTCTGAGGGCATGCACACCAAATAATACCCCACGGACCTAGACTGTGACACTCAGGGCTAGACGTAGTCCCTCACTGGCTCCTCCTGTGGTCTGAAGAGGTGTGTGCTGGGAACAATTGCCTCTGCACCCTTGCAGAAAGGACGGCTCATGAGCTGGGTGGGGGCTCAGCCTTTGGTTGGAGCACTGAAAGCATCGGTGGGGCAGCTTGTTTCCACCAGCTTTGTGGGCCAGAGTGGGTTCATCCATGGGATGAAACTGAGGTGATGAGATGCCAGTAAAAGTCAGAAAAGTTCAGCCTAATGAAAAGTGCAGCTCCTGGAACATCTTGCATGGAAGAGGTGAGAGGTGGGGCTGCTCTAGGCACAGCAGTGCTGGGTTGAGGTTGGATTAGGTGACCCCACAGCCCAGGCACCTTCTGTCCCACGTGACTGTGGCTGTTTGGTGCTGACATACCGACTCCTGATTCTGCACCTCTGTGCTTGGCGTGGGGCCTGGATCAGGCCTTCAGTAAGTATTTGCTGGCTGGCCGGGCTTCCGTGAGTCCTGAGGGCTTTGGGGCTGTGTGCGGACGCAGATGAGGGTTTCTAAATTGTTGCGGGGTCTGAGACTTTCCTCGGACATGCCATAGATAATGTGGGCTGTGCTGACCTTTTCCTCTCAGTCTGTAGAGTGAACTTATTTTGGGAACCCTGTATCTGCATGTTCTAGTCTTTCAGGGGTGTTTGTGAACGTGACCCTCCATCTTTCTTATGACCCTGCTGATACAGGACCCTGTGCTGGCCACTCTGGCCTCTTGTCAAGCTACAGTACTCATAGTTTGAGGAAATGACACAGTCAGTCCTCTGAGATGGTGGCCAGAAGGTGGCCAGACGCCCAAGCAGGCTGGACTCTGTTGCTCCCCCTGCCCTCCCCAAGGCGTCTGCTGAGGTGTCTCCCCCCCAACCCCCTGCCATCTTATTCATCCAGCCTTCTCCTCAGGACCAGGCTGTTTGTACCTTTCAGAGTGTTTATTTGACTCGTTGGGAAGTTGTAGGTCAGGTCCTAAGAAGGTGAGTTACTGTGGGAAATGATGAGCATGAGGTAGATCCTTCTTCATTTAGGTTCAGACCACCTTGACTGTGGATGGAGACTGCTTCTGGCTCTTGCATGAACTGCCCCAGAAAAGCCTGTTCTGGTTTCTGAGGAATGCATGAAAAGCGAAGAACACCAAGAGATGGAATACCATCTCCCAGATGCTCTGCAGACAACTAGAGCTGGCATAGAGGTGCTGACGCTGTTCAGGGCACGGGTGCAGGTTGTCCACTAGCAGGGTGGGGAGCGGGGAACGTGGTTAGTCAGTGCCAATGGGAAGCAGGTACATGCAGGGCAGTGCTACCCAGCTGCTGGGGGTGCCCGTGGTTTCCTGTTCAGTCTTAGGATGGCACAGATCCATGGCGACCCACCTGTGTGTTGCACAAGCATGTGCTGTGTCTTGGACACATGTCCTCAGCTTCTTTCCAGGATGGCGTGCCTTATTCCTTGGGTACTGCTGCAGCATTCTTTTCAGTGTGGAGGTAGATAGCAACACTCAAAAGTCCACAAAACACGCTCAGTTTGAAAGGCAAATTTTAAATTGCACCTTCTTCTAGTTTGCATTTTAAAAAATTCAAAAAGAGTATTTCTTTTTGAAGACGATGTTGAACTGTCTTTGTTTTCTTTATTTCTTGCTGATTTGCATGTGCTCTTTTCTCTGTGTGTCCACGGAGAATGTAACTTGAATTTTTACACAGGTAGTTTTTAGGTAGCTTAGGTGGGTTTTTTACTTCAGTTGGTTAATTAGTATACATTTGTTCATCTTTTTAATTTCTTTGTATTGATGTTTGATTCAAAGCCTCTCTGTGTACCCTAGGCTGGCCTTGAGCTCAAGTTCCTTCTGCCTCACCCTGCTGAGTGCTGGGATCACAGGCATGCAGCACCATCCTGGGCTATATTGACT